TCCGTGCCCTCCGCCTCTTCGAAGGTCACCACCGCGTCGTCCGCGTCCAGCTGGAGGGACAGGAGAGGGTGTTAGGTGGGATGGGGGACAGGGACAAGGACAGGGATGGAGATGGGGACAGGGACACAGAGAGGGACAAGGGTGAGGATGGGGATGGAGATGAGGATGTGGCTGGAGATGATGGGGATGGGGATGAGACGGGGATGGGGATGGAGGTGAGGATGGGGACAGGGATGGAGATGAGGATGGGGACAGGGATGGAGATGAGGATGCGGCTGGAGATGATGGAGATGGGACAGGGATGGGGATGGAGATGGGGACAGGGATGGAGATGAGGGTGGGGATGAGGAGGAACCAAGAATGGGGACAGGATTGAGGACAGGGATGGTGACAAGGATGGAGACAGGGATGGGGGCTGGGATGAGTATGGGAATAAGGGCAGGGATGAGATTGGGAACAAGAATGGGAACAAGGATGGGGACAAGGATGGGGACAGGGACAGGGATGGTAAAAAGGATGGGGACAGGGATGGAGATGAGGATTGGGACCTGGAGGGGAAGAGGGATGGGGACAGGGATGGGAACAAGGATGGGGACGGGGATGGGGCTGGGATGGCTATGGAATAGGGGCAGGGAGGAGGCTGGGGACAGGGATGGGGATGGACAGAGGGATGAGCAGAGGGACAGGGACAGTACCACGGTGGCTTCCATCCCATGCCAGGGCTACGTACGCATTTGAGCTCAATGTCCCTGAAGATCCTGGGCAGCAGGAAGCGCCGCAGGGGCACGGTGAGGATGAGGACGAAGGGCAGCGCCAGCGAGGCCGGGGTGGACTTCACCACCCACAGCAGCGCGAGTACAATGATCTGGATGAAGGTGAACAGGTGCATCCTCCAAGTCTTCACCTGTGGGATGAGGAACCCAGAGGGGTCAAGGTTGTGGGTCCAGCACCGCGCACCCTTCCCGGGGTGCTGGGTGCTGGGGGGTGGCAGTACCAGTGGCCCAAAGAGCCCAACGAAGGTCAGCAATGAAGGAGGATGCTCTTTGGGGAGCCCCAAGCAGGCAGCACCATGGGGATGCCACAGCCCAGGACTCTCCCAAGCCCTCGGCCACCCAGCTGGGTGACACAGGGCTCACTCACCCGGGTGACGTAGGGCTCGTCGGGGTGGTATTTGGGTGGCATCAGCAAGAGCAGGATGCGGTCGAAGAGCTGGATGCCAAAGAGGGAGGTGACACCCATGTAGAGGAAGATGCCAAAGAGCACGGCCAACGGGATGTACTTCAGGATGGGCTCCATGAGGATGGAGACGCCTGCGGTGGAGAAGGAGAGGTCAGGGAGAGGAGTTGGGGGGCACCCAGCCCTCGCTGCTGGGGGTGGGGGGGCACCTCCCCAGCTCACCGATGAGCACGGCCACCAACAAGCCACTGATGCGCTGTTCCTTGACCTCCAAGATCTGGGACTTCTCGCCAGGAGAGGAGGTCTTGGTCATGACGGTGAGGGCGTTGGCGTGGGTGATGGTGCGGACGGTGGTGGCGCTGAGCCAGGGCATGCCGAAGAGGGCAGCCAGGCCCCCCATGGCCACGATCAGCAGCAGGTCCAGGTGAAAGCCAGAGCCCTTCACCAGCTTCCTCTCGGGCTTGCTGACGATGAGACTGCCAGGGACAGAGCAGGGGGAGTTGGTGGTGGGACGTCTCCTTCCATCCCTGTCCCACCAGGCACCCCTCAACCCTCCCCTCCCACCCTATTATCCCCCCCAGGGTCCTCACGTTGTAATCTGCGTCTCGAGGAAGATGAGGATGAAGACCAGGAGGGCAGGCACCACAGAGGCGAACATCATCCAGATGGGGAAAGAGTTGTCCTTCCCCATGGGGTTGATAAACCAGCCCCGGGCAGATGAGTTGGTGACCTCCAGCCCTTTGGGGACGTTCAGTTTCTGGATGGGAGCAGAGATGAGGGGGTGAGGGGATGGGGACAAGCACCTAGGTCCATGTCCCCTTGTTGGGGGGGACACCCATTCCCATGCCCAGCCCTGCCCTCCTGCTGCTCCCGAACCTGCGTGTAGGTGTCCTGGATGAAGAAGTCAACCAGCGCCATGATGAAGATGGAAATGGGCACCCCGAAGTCCCCAATCAAGCGCCGGGCCTGTGGGGACACCATGACCACATTAAACACAACCCACCCACTCAAGGGGGTCCCCCCCCACCATGTCCCTGCCAGCAGCAAGCTCTAGCAAAGACCTCTGAAGGTCCATGCAAGGTCCATGCCCCTTCTGGGAAACTACACCCACCAAGCCCGGGGTTCACCCCCAGTGCTGCCCCCCAGGTCCAGTGGGGTGGGGGGGATGCCACTGTGCCCCCCCCCCAGTTCCTCACCACGCCAGGCAGGAAAGCGCTGTTCTTGAACTTGCGGAGGAAGAAGGCCAGGAAGAAGGTGCCGGCCATGAGGACGAGGGACAGCAGCGCCGTGTTGGGCTCCGGCACCTTGGGCTCAAAGGTGTCCTTCACGTTGTAATGTCGCTTCAGTGGGTGATCCTTGAAGATCTGGGGAGGGAAGGGGAGGAGGTCAGGGAGGATGGGACCACCCCCTGCACCCCTCCTGCCACGCTGGACCCCCATGGCACCATCCCGGCCAGTCCATGGGTGCAGGGTGACCGGTGAGGCTGGAGCTCGGCACACGGGGAGCAGGGGGGTATTTTGAGGCTTGTTTTTCTCCATGTTCCTTCAGAAATGGGGCCAGAGGAGGGACAGGGGGACACAGTGGGGACAGGTGAGTGTGGCCCCGCTGTGGACCATGGGTCACCCAGGGTGTTTGGAGCTGTGCTGAGCTTGTAGAGGGGTGCAACGGGGGCACCTCGGTGTGATGGGGGTCCAGGGTGTGATGGGGCACGTGTCCTGCCTGTCACCTCTCCAGCACCACAGATGTCCCTGTGGGCACCCAGTGCGTGGGGTGACACCGTCCCATTGCTACTGGCCAGCCAGGAAGGGTCTGAGACAGAGGATGGGGGACAAAATTGGGGCTCTCTGAGCAGTTCCTGGGCAAGGACCACGTTTGCTGGAGCCCAGGTGGGACATCTGCCTGGGCTTCACCTCCCTGCCCCAAAATCCCCCCCGTGGAGAGAAGCACGAGCTGGGAAACACCTAGGAAGGGGGAGAAAATGCTGGGAGATGGGCTCCATCCCTCACCTGCATCCCTCCCACCATTTCTATGGAAACCCGGGTGAGTACCACAGTCCACAGCCCCCCCAGCACCCAACCCCTTCCCCTGCTGCGGGACCCCTCTGTCCCTCACCGTGACCAGCTTGGAGAAGGTCTCGTAGATGAAGATGAGGGAGATGAGGAAGGAGAAGATCTCCTGGGTGTAGCGGGACAGGTAGCGCACCAGGACGCTTCCCTCGCAGGCCACCACCACCAGCACCACCAGGATCAACCAGAAGCCAATCCAGACCCGGCCCACAATGTACTCCATGCCATTGGCTGTGCAGAACTGGGGAGACAGAGGGCACAGCCCTGTCAGCCCCATGGAGCCCCTGCCATGGGCAACCAGGTGGGCTGGATCCCGGGGTCCTGTGGTGGCCCTGCACCTCCTACCCAGGGGCTGGGAGGTGCTGGGATGGGGATAGTGGTACCCCGGTGGGGCAGGATCCTCGTGGGATCATCCAGCTGGCATTGCCCACGTGGTGTCACCCATGTGGTGTCAGCTATTTGGCATCACCCACACCGTGTCATGCACCTGGCATCACCCCTGTGCCAACCCAGATGGCTCTACCTGCGTGATATCACCCAACTGCCACCACCCCACATGGCATCCCCCATGTGACCAGTGTGTGGGGTGACACCATCCCATTGCTATTGGCCAACCAGGAAGGGTCTGAGACAGGGGATGGGGGACAAAATTGGGGCTCTCTGAGTAGTTCCTGGGCAAGGACCACGTTTGCTGGAGCCCAGGTGGGACATCTGCCTGGGCTTCACCTCCCTGCCCCAAAATTCCCCCCCGTGGAGAGAAGCACGAGCTGGGAAACACCTAGGGAGGGAGAGAAAATTCTGGGAGATGGGCTCCATCCCTCACCTGCATCCCTCCCACCGTTTCTATGGAAACCCAGGTGAGGACCACAATCCACAGCTCCCCCGACCCCCCGATCTTCCCACCATTTCTATGGAAACCCGGGTGAGTACCACAGTCCACAGCCCCCCCAGCACCCAACCCCTTCCCCTGCTGCGGGACCCCTCTGTCCCTCACCGTGACCAGCTTGGAGAAGGTCTCGTAGATGAAGATGAGGGAGATGAGGAAGGAGAAGATCTCCTGGGTGTAGCGGGACAGGTAGCGCACCAAGACGCTTCCCTCGCAGGCCACCACCACCAGCACCACCAGGATCAACCAGAAGCCAATCCAGACCCGGCCCACGATGTACTCCATGCCATTGGCTGTGCAGAACTGGGGAGACAGAGGGCACAGCCCTGTCAGCCCCATGGAGCCCCTGCCATGGGCAACCAGGTGGGCTGGATCCCGGGGTCCTGTGGTGGCCCTGCACCTCCTACCCAGGGGCTGGGAGGTGCTGGGACGGGGATAGTGGTACCCCGGTGGGGCAGGACCCTTGTGGGATCATCTGGCTGGCATTGCCCACGTGGTGTCACCCATGTGGTGTCAGCTATTTGGCATCACCCACATGGTGTCACCCATGTGGTGTCAGCTATTTGGCATCACCCACACGGTGTCATGCACCTGGCATCACCCCTGTGCCAACCCAGATGGCTTTACCTGCGTGATATCACCCAACTGCCACCACCCCACATGGCATCCCCCATGTGACATCCCTCAAGTGCCATCCCGCATGTGGCATCCCCCCCGTGCCACCCCCCTCATGACATCCCCTCATGGCATCCCCCCCCGTGCCGTCACCCCATGCCTCTGCCAGGCTGGTGGCCCCACGAGCCCACTGTGGGGACCACTGGCAGCAGGCGGGGGGCACCCAGGGGTGCAGGGGGGCACCCACCGAGTAGAAGGCTTCCTCGAAGACGAGGAGGGGCCCCGAGAAGCCAACGACGAGCAGGGGCTGGGCGCTGAAGATGCTGAAGAGGACGCACTGCACACAGGTGGAGATGAGCAGCTCCGACACCCCCATCATGCCCTTGGTCTTCTCACCTGGGGGGGTCACAGGGACAGAGCTTGTGGGTGCCAGGGTGGGACACAGCGCCGTGTCCCCCCACCCCACACTCCTTGGAACCATGATAAAGGGATGCAATAACCCCCCCCCCAGGAGCATCCCCAGGGGATGGTCCTGCAGGTGGTGGCACCCCGCTCCCCCAGCCCCTTGCCCAGCTTGGGGGGGGAGCCAGAGGGCACAGCCCCGTCAGCCCCATGGAGCCCTTGCCATGGGCAACCAGGTGGGCTGGATCCCGGGGTCCTGTGGTGGCCCTGCACCTCTTACCCAGGGGCTGGGAGGTGCTGGGATGGGGATAGTGGTACCCCGGTGGGGCAGGATCCTCGTGGGATCATCCAGCTGGCATTGCCCACGTGGTGTCACCCATGTGGTGTCAGCTATTTGGCATCACCCACACCGTGTCATGCACCTGGCATCACCCCTGTGCCAACCCAGATGGCTTTACCTGCGTGATATCACCCAACTGCCACCACCCCACATGGCATCCCCCATGTGACATCCCTCAAGTGCCATCCCGCATGTGGCATCCCCCCCGTGCCACCCCCCTCATGACATCCCCTCATGGCATCCCCCCCCGTGCCGTCACCCCATGCCTCTGCCAGGCTGGTGGCCCCACGAGCCCACTGTGGGGACCACTGGCAGCAGGCGGGGGGCACCCAGGGGTGCAGGGGGGCACCCACCGAGTAGAAGGCTTCCTCGAAGACGAGGAGGGGCCCCGAGAAGCCAACGACGAGCAGGGGCTGGGCACTGAAGATGCTGAAGAGGACGCACTGCACGCAGGTGGAGATGAGCAGCTCCGACACCCCCATCATGCCCTTGGTCTTCTCACCTGGGGGGGTCACAGGGACAGAGCTTGTGGGTGCCAGGGTGGGACACAGAGCTGTGTCCTCCCACCCCCCACTCCTTGGAACCATGATAAAGGGATGCAATAACCCCCCCCCCAGGAGCATCCCCAGGGGATGGTCCTGCAGGTGGTGGCACCCCGCTCCCCCAGCCCCTTGCCCAGCTTGGGGGGGACATCCCTGTCCCCCAACATGTCCCCGGCCTGTCCCCCCCATTACTTAGCAAGCCTCCGAAGGTGACAGCAGGTGACAGCGCCGCGAAGTAGATGAAGATGACGGCGGCCAGGCACTGGGGGCTGAGGGCATCCTTGATGTCACTGAGATATTTGGGGTACCGGCGGCGGATGTCCCTCACCAGCCCCCCAAAAGGTCTCCCCGTCCTGCGCAGGGGGTCGTCATCTTCCGGCGCCGGCTCCCCCAGCCCTGGGGACACCAGAAGGTGGCCATGGGGGGACCCCACCTGCAAGGAGGGGGTCCCACCTGCCATGGGGATGGGGGAACCCAAGGGGGTGGTGGGGTGGTCCCCGCCGTACCCAGGTCTTTTAGGAAGCCCTCTCCCGGTGTCTTCTCGGGGGGCTGGTAGCGGCGGCGGAGCAGCTCGTGCTGCAGCGGCACCAGGCTGCGGAGGAGCTGCTCGTTGGGGGTCTCGGTGGGGGGCAGGACGATGCTGGCCTCCAGAAAGTCCTCCACCCCCCGCAGCAGGTCCTGGCGGCCCTCGGCCAGGTAGGCATCCCGGCGAAAGACCTGCAGGGTGGACCACGGGGCTGTCTCTGGCACCCACCAGGGGGGCATGGGGATGTGGGGGGCCATAGGGACACAGGGGTTTGGGGACAGGGGGCATGGGAGCACAGGGGCTTGAGGACATGGGGAACATAGGACCACAGGAGAATGGGGACATGTTTGCTTGGACTCATGGGGACAAGGGGACACATTACTTCAGGGACATGGGCACATGGGGACACAGGGACATGGGGACACAGGGGCATGGGGACATGGGGAACATAGGACCACAGGAGCATGGGGACGTGTTTGCTTGGACTCATGGGGACAAGGGGACATACTACCTATGGGGCATGGGCACATGGGGACACAAGGGCATGGGGACATGGGGACACAGGGGTGTTTGCTTGGACTTATGGGGACAAGGGGACATACTACCTATGGGGCATGGGCACATATGTTTGCTTGGACTCATGGGGACAAGGGGACACATTACTTCAGGGACATGGGCACATGGGGACACAGGGACATGGGGACACAGGGGGATGGGGACAGGGGGCATGGGAGCACACGGGCATGGGGACATGGGGAACATAGGACCACAGGAGAATGGGGACGTGTTTGCTTGGACTTATGGGGACAAGGGGACATACTACCTATGGGGCATGGGCACATGGGGACACAAGGGCATGGGGACATGGGGACACAGGGACACAGAAGTGTGGGGACAGGGATGTATATGGACATGGGGCCAGGGTGCATGTGGAGATGGGGACAGGGGTGCATGGGGACATGGAGACCTAAGGGGATGAGGACACAGGTGTGTGGGGACAAGGGGACACGGTGCCCTGGGGACACAGGGACAGGAGCACTGAGAGGGACGTGGCACAGGTGGATGAGCCCTATTAGAGGGTGCAGCCCCCAGGGCTGGGGACTTTGGGGTGCCCAGAGGGGCTGTCACCCAAGATGGCAGTGGTGGTGGAGGGCGAGCCGTACCCTCTCGGACATCATGGTGGCCACGGCGCGGCCGATCTCGTGGTAACTGATGTTGGGGCTGTCGGGGCCCAGGACCACGAAGAGGAAGCGGACGGGCAAGGGCACCTCAAGGACGGCGTCCAGTGTCACCGCGGCCTTCAGGCGCACGAAGGCCAGGGTGGGCTGCTCCAGGAAGGCTGCGCAGCCTGGGGGGAGGACGGGATGGGATGGGGGTCACGGGGGGGCCGGGCACAGGGACACAGGGCAGAGGGACGTGGGACACAGAAGAGATGGGGACTCAAGAGCATGGGGACATGGAGACATGGGGATACAGGAGCATGGAACCATGGGGACATGGAGACATGGGGACACAGAGACATGGGGACATGAGAGCATGGGGATATAGAGACATGGGGACATGAGAGCATGGGGGTATGGGGACATGGAGACATGGGGACACAGGAGCACGGGGACATGGAGACAGAAACATGGGGACATGAGAGCATGGGGATATGGAGACATGGGGACAAGGAGACACGGGGAAACGAGAGCATGGGGACATGGGGACATGGGGACATGGAGACACAGGGACACGAGAGCATGGGGACATGAAAACATGGTGCCATGAGGACATTGGGATATGGAGACAAGAGGACAAAAGGGCAGAGTTATTTGGTGACAAGATGACACAGAGGCATGGGGACATGGGGGGACAAAGGGAATGGGACACACAAAGAGGACGGGGAGGCACAGGGATACACGACCATGGGGGTACAGGGACATGGGGACACAGGGACAGGAGGGCATGGGGGCACAGGGCTGCAGGGGACAGAGGGGACACGGGGGAGTGGAGAATGGGGACGTGAGGAGGAGGGAGAGGGGGACAGGGGACCCAGAGAGCAGCGCTGAGCGGCAGCAGGCGGCGGCAGCGGCGAGAGCTGAGGAGGGGGAGAGTCAAAAAAAGGTGCAAGAGAAGCGGCGAGTGAGCGAGCAGGCGGACACCGAAGCTCCCGCTGCACACCCCGGCCCCACACTCACCCCCCAGCCCCA